AGGGAGACGTGGAAAACTGGGTGGATGCGCGAGCCCTCAGGAAGTTACAGTCTATAGGCCACTTTGCCTATTCGTTTCTCCACTTTGTACGGCCCATAATAGCGACTGGCCAGTTTGTGATAGGCCCGCCTATGAACCGTCTGCTGTCGGTATGGGTGGAGCTTGAGGAAAACCAGATTGCCCACTTGGAATTCGATGTCTCTTCTTTTAGCGTTGGCCATTTGGGTCATGCGGTTAATGGCCGCATGCAGGTTTACCTTGAGTTGTTGCAAAATGGCATCGCGAGAGAGCATAGCTTGATCTACCTCTTCTACTGGGGATGTTCCACCTTGGTAATTTGGAATACGAGGTGGTGGTCTTCCATATAGTGCTTGAAATGGCGTCATTCCGATAGAGGAATGATAGGTGGTGTTATACCAGAATTCTGCCCTGGCAGGAAGGAGCTCTACTTCCGAGGTTGCTGAAAAACAAAGCAACGAAGATACTGCTCTAGACAACGGTTGACCACTTCTGACTGTCCATCAGTCTGGGGATGGTAGGCAAAGCTCATATGCAATTTGGTACCAGACATCTTAAAGAATTCCCTCCAAAAGTGGCTGATGAATATAGGATCTCTGTCACTAACTATCGTCTTTGGCATCCCATGCAGCTTCACAATTCCTTYTACAAACCTTTCAGCTACTACCTTCACCGTATAGGGATGTGGTAAGGTCAAGAAATGAGCTGATTTAGTGAGGCAGTCTACTACCACAAAAATAGTGGTTTTGCCTTTGGAGGGTGGTAGTCCCTCTATAAAATCCATGGTAATGTCATCCCATACTTGRCAGGGAAYGGGTAGTRGYTGTAGYAGTCCTGCCRGGGATAGAGTGTCTGCTTTATTCTTTTGGCAAATGGCGCAAGAAGCTACATATTGTTGAATATCTTTGTACATAGAGGGCCAATAGAACTGTTGTGCCATACGTTTGTATGTGCGTAGGACCCCAGAATGTCCACCATAGGGGGAGTCATGGAACTCTTGTAAGAGTATAGAAATGAGGGGGGACTGAGGAGGAATCACGACTCGGTTTTTATAACATACCAGTCCATTTTTCCATGTGTAGGGAGCTCCAGGATTCTCCATTGCTTGCTTGCTGATGCAGATCATGTATGGGTGGGTGCTGGCATCTTTCTTGATGGTGTCCCACAAAGATGTTTGAGGCATATAAAGAGTGTTAAGGCTAGGGCTCCCCAAGACTCTCGAAAGTGCATCTGCAACATAGTTTTCTCGTCCAGGCTTGTAGATGATTTCGTAGTCGTACCCGAGCAATTTGGATACCCATTTCTGTTGTTCGGGTGTTCCAATGCGTTGCTCTAGTAGATACTTGAGGCTGCGCTGATCGGTCTGGACGTAAAACTTGTGACCCAATAGGTAAGGTCGCCATGTTCGTATTGCCTGAACAATGGCGAGCATTTCTTTGGCATATGTGGACCAACTCTGTTTGTTGATGCCTAGAGCTCGGCTCATGAATACAATGGGTTGTCCCTGTTGCGTCAATACCGCTCCAATACCTACTCCGGAAGCATCCGCCTCAATGGTAAAAGGCTCCTCAAAATTTGGCATTGCCAATGTGGGAGTCGTGGTCATTGCCTTTTTTAAGGTTGTGAATGCTTCTTGGGCTTCGGTAGTCCATCTGAATTCACCCTTCTTGAAAAGATTCGTGAGGGGTCGAGCTATGATCCCATAGTTACGGACGAACTTCCTGTAATACCCTATAAGACCTAAGAAGCCTCGCAAGTCAGTAATATGAGTGGGTTGATGCCACTTAAGCATAGCCTCAATTTTCCCTTGGTCTACCTTGACCCCGTGGGAAGTGACAATGTGTCCCAGATACTCCACCTCTGGCTGACCAAATATGCATTTACTAAATTTGATAAAAAATTGGTGATGCCTTAAAACCTCAAAAGTTGTTCGAACATGTTCAAGATGCATGTTCTAGTTGGGACTGTAGATAAGAATATCATCAAAGAAAACTAGCACAAATTTACGGAGATAGGGTCGAAAAACAGAATTCATAATAGCCTGAAATGTGGAAGGTGCATTACATAGGCCAAAAGGAATAACCAAATACTCATAGTGACCATTGTGTGTGCGAAATGCCGTTTTATGAATGTCCAGTGGGTGGATCCGTACCTGGTGATATCCAGATCGTAAATCAAGTTTAGTAAAAAAAGAAGCCCCATACAGTTCATCTAGCATATCGTCAACAGTGGGGATAGGAAATCTATCTTTAATGGTCACGACGTTGAGTGCCCGATAATCGGTACAAAAACGCCAAGTCCCATCTTTTTTCTTAACTAGCAAGACAGGGGAAGAAAATGGACTTGTGCTAGATCAGATGAGTCCCAATCGTAACATATCTTGTACTTGTTTTTCGATCTCAGCTTTTTGGAAATAGGCATACCTGTATGGCCGGACGTTGACAGGTTCCGTTCCTCCTTTGAGAGTGATGCGGTGGTCTATCTCTCTTCGTGGTGGCAGTTGTGTTGGTTTTTGGTAGAGATCACTGAATTCCGCCAATAGTTGTTGCATATCCGGGCTTAGTTGTGGAGACACTTCTTCTGTGATTGCTTGGAGACAGACGGCAAATAACGAGTGCTCCTGTTTGATCCCCTTCATAATCTGTATGAAGGAGGCAGACTGAATTGTTTGGTGGTCGATCCCCTTCAACAGCCGGTGTTGGTTGGTCCAAGAAAACTCCGTCGTCATATGCTTCCAATCACATGCCACAGTTCCCAATTGCTCTAGCCAATGGATTCCTAGTACCATATCCAACCCAATTAGTGGTAAAGAATAAAGTGTCAAGGTGAATGGAATACCTTGTAGAAGGACATGCA